CTCAACCTCAATACCTTTAAGATATGTGGACTTCAACTCCCAGAATTCCCCAGCCACACTGCCTTAGAATAACATCTGGCTACTTACATTTAACAAGTCCCAAATAGGATGAAAAAGGTCATATAGTGTAGTTCCTGCCTCCTGGTGGTCAATGTAACTTTTAATGCCCATCAAACTTTCAGAAAGGTGAAGCGAAAGAGGAGGCTGATTTCAGAGTCACAGGGGGCCAAGTCCCTGAAAGCCAAGCCTGAAGGCCATGACCTTGGAAGAAGGAACAGAAAGAAGATCTTCCCCGAAGAATTTTAAGAATAAGCAGAATTATAAGGAGAAATAAAAGCAAACAGATATGGGTTGGGGGTGGGCATGGGAGGTTGTAACTGAAGAGCTCAGAAAACATGCACCAGTAGTTTGACCTTGGTTCTGTTTTAAAGCAGAAGAAAGGCATAGATACAGACAGTAATATGTATAATGCAATGGACTTTCAAAATTAATAGTCACACATAGGGAAAAAGAGGAGGAGAGGCCTGACAATCCATATTGTAAGTGAAACAACTCCAAAAACTTGACCACAGTGTTAAAAAAAAACTTATTTTATGCCTGTTTGTTAAAAAAAAAAAACAACAACTCAGAACTAATGTGGATGTTCACAAACAACTAATCAACACGAAACAGCTGCTTTAGTGCGGCTAAGCCAGTGTTCCTCAACCTCAGCAACTTTAAGATGGGCGGACTTCAACTCCCAGAGGCTGGGGAATTCTGGGAGTTGAAATCCACCCATCTTAAAGTTGCTGAGGTTGAGGAACTCTGGTCTAAGCTATGCAGAGCTTTCCCACCTAAACATCCTCTGAGCACTGAATTGGGGCATGGCTGCTCCACCAGTCAAACAGTCATTGGCCACTCACACAGGGACAAAATTTGCACAACAAGCTAGACTAGACTAAAAGAGGATGGGGTAGTCTATGATTCAGGGTGCCCTAATGGGAACCCAATCTTTTTTTTTTTTTTAGTTTCATGCACCAGCCAGAGCATGTTATATAAATACACTTGTTTTTTTCAGCAGTTAGTGGAAAGAATTCAGCTAGTCCACCATTCTGAGAACCCTCTTAGAACAATGCCTATTGAATGGTCAGCTGGTGTGCGTGAATCCTTCTGCTTCAGAAAGCAGATTCTCCTGGGCCACCCCTGTACATCCAGAACTGTTGAGGGGAAAAATCTAGCTAAGAGAGCAGGCCAAGAGTCACACCATCCAGCAGGATCAACCTTCCAAGGTGGACCACATCAGGAAGATTGACTCCATAGGAAAACTAGAGCTCTACTTCACTGAGACAGGCTAGAGTAGCATCTTAAAGCTGCCAAGGTTAAGAAACACTGTACTAGATGTGTAAGAGCAAGATTTTCTTGGCTGGAGGAGTAACAAAAGTGAGGGTTCGTTGACCCATATGATATGGTCAAGTGATCATTTGGTACCTTTCTGGAAGGATATTTTAATATAGTTAAGGAGATTTATGGGAAAATCTCTAAATGCGAAGGATGTTAATGTGATGTTGAATTATATACCAGAGGTTGAATCCGTTTATCAGACATTACAGTTGCATCAAGCATGGGGAGGTGAGCTAAAAGAATTGTATTGAGACATTGGAAAAGTGATATTATTCCAAATGTGAAGGAATGGCTTTTGAAAATGTGTAACTTATCCATCTAAGAAAAGGCAATATTTTCCACTAATCAAAGGATGAAGCACTTTGGCAGAGACTTTATGATATTTTGCAAGTAAAATATTGGTTATACTATAATACTATACGGTAATTATTAGTAAACCAGTGACTACTGATAAGTTTTATATATATAGTAAATTTTTTCCTTTGGTTTTTTATCTTTTATCTTTATCTTTTTTTTTTTTTTGCTTCCATCATTTTTTCTTTACATGTAAGGATTGTTTCATTTAATGTTTTTTTTTTAGTGTATTGTGGTGTTTTGTCTATATTTTGTGAGGGAGGAGGTTGTATATTTTTTATTAGAATTTTCTGACACAGTAAAAATATACAGAACAAAGAAAAAGGAAGTAAGGAAAACAGAAAAGAAAAGGAATGACAAGAGAAGAAAACATTGAGTTATGCCTTCTGCCCTTCTTTCTATTGAGTAATTCTCATCTTATTCTTTCCCCCATCCTCTTTGGCCCTTTTAATCCCCATTGTCTGTATTTTGCATTTTGAAAAACAGCAAAAATAAATAAAGAAATAAATAAATACATTGAGAGAGCTAGTTCTGACCTAGCTCTCACAAGAATGTGGATCATCTCCATTTTTCTGAAGTCACACCAGAGAGACAAGGAAAACAGAACGGTCACCTGGCTTTCAGCATCATTTCCCACATGTCTACAGGCTGACTAACTAGACCCAACCTTGCTTAGCTCCTGAGCACAGGTGAGGTCTGGCTGCAGCTTCTCTTTTTTTATGACCTTTTTCAGTGTGGATATTGCCTTCAAAATAGCCACCAGGAGGCAGCAGATATCCACCCAGCGGGAAGAAGAACCCGAAATTGCTAGCTATTTGCTCAAGGTAACCTGGCTGAGTTATCTCTGCAACAGGAAGAACAGGTGTGGCGGGCCACACCTGAAATGTACCACAAATATATTGTAATATTAGCGTGGCAGAATATTGTGCAACAGGCTTTTCATCGCAAAACATTTCCAAAAGCTAGCGTGGTGCCCGTTCTTGGAATGCTGATCCCTTGAACCTTGAAAAGCATCTATTATTATATTTCCTAGGGCCCTATGGAAGATATACTGTAGCTCTTCATTCAGGCTTTCTTTGGGCAAATGTTATGGAGGAGTTCCTCTCTCACTATCACTTTTTCATTTTTTAATGTCATTTTCACGCACCACTTGAGCTGTTTTTCACATAGGAAGGTGATATAGAGAGTTAGCAAATAAAACAAATTATAAATAATATCCTACTACTTATGCAGCAGCTCCGAAATTCCCAGATTTATATAAAGGGTGAAAACTTATAGTTCAAGACCAGGTTCACCAACTTGCTTTTAATAAGTTTGTTTAATAAGCCATATCAGATGGGTTGAGCGGTTGGAGCATATCTAAAGATATGCTGATATGTTTACAAACCACAATGACTTTGTTCACATTAAACCCCAGTCAAACAAACCGCATTATGGCTTCACCAAGTTGGGTGAAACTGGCATATGATTAGAAGCACCCATTGCACTAGGATCACTACAACTGCACCTTGTAAAAGTGGTTGAACCCTGGTATCCCTCACATGTGGTGAGCTGGCTTGCTTGCCAGCTTTCTTGCCAGAATGCACATCCTTGTCACAGGCAGAATCTACATCTTCACAAGGGCTTTGCCGTACAGGCACATGTGGGCTCAAGTCTCAGGTTCCTCCAGATCCCAAGTTATCACTGCCAGAGGGCTATTGTTATTCCTTCCTGCCAACGTTGAGGACAGCAAGACATGAAAGTGGCCAAACAGAGAGCTCTACAGAGTATTGGGCAGGTCATATGAAATAAGTAGTTTGCCAACCTGAAGGGTTTCATGGCTTTTTCTGTATGTGCCTTCTTGGCTCCTGGCTACTCCATGGACAAGTGCCTGCAGTTTTCTTGGCAAGATTTTCAGGAGTTTGCCCTTGCCTTCTTCCTGGGCTGAAAGAGAGTGACTGATCCTTACCTGAAGTTCTGCTTTTGTTATATGCTCCTCTTTCCATTTTTTAAACATGTCCTTTTTGTTTCTCAGTTTCTCAGAGAGTTCATGTTACAACCATTCTGGTCTTATCATGCGTCTCTCTTTTTTCCCCCTTTGGTATTGATTCTGTTTGGGTCTTAATTATCTCGTTTTTCAGAATATCTCAGTTCTCCTGAACTGTTTTTCCCTGCAGGATTTCCATCCATGAACTCCATCCTACTTTTTTCTCTTAGCTTGTTGAAGTCAGCTCTCTTGAAATCTAGAACACTAATCTAGCTACTTTCATTTCTCCTTGCAATGTGGTGAATTCTAGGATTACATGGTTATTCTCTCCCAAGGTCCCTGTCACTTCCACTTCTTCAACTACTTCTTCCATTTTAGTAAGCATTAAGTCCAATATAGCTGATCTTCTAGTTCGTTTCTCCACCTTTTAGATGATAAAGTTGCCCAAAAGGCACATCAAGAATCTGTTGGGTCTCTTGCTTGCCACAAAATTTGATTCCCAGTTGATATAAGGGTAGTTGAAATTCCCCATTATCACAGCGGTGTATTTCCTGGATACCTTGACCATCTGGTTTGTGAAGATCTATGTCTTCTGCTTGTAGTACATACCCACAACAATACTATTTTGGTTTCTTTTTCCCTTAATAATCACCTACTTTCAGCAGAGTTTTCATCCTTGGGATCATGAATGAGAGTCCACAGGATGTACTATTAACAGTGTTTGATTAAAAATGGGGAGATAAAAGTAAAGGTAATGCCTCCTTTGAATCAAGCTCAACTCTTGGTGATGGCTATTGGGTTCTTCCAGAATGTTTTTCAACTTCACAGTTTAAGCTACAGACCTGGAATGTTCCGGTGATCTCTTCAATCCTGTTTAGCTTTTTGAAATGAACCAAGGTCAGGTGGGGGCTGTCATCTAGTTGGGCAAAACTGCGGAGACCCAAGGTGAAATCTCAATTCACAAATGTTATTAGAAAATCATGGGATGCTTTTTATTTCTCTCTGTAGCTTGCTTGTTGTATGTATGTATGTTAATTTTTAATTCTGGGATTGACACTGTTGATGATCTCCTGGCCATCATCTGCTTTTGGTTTTAAAATGGGCCTAAGACATATCTGCACTTCCTTTCATAGTAATACGTAGTTGTGTGGTTTATTCTCTCAAAAATAGGAAAGCCAAAGCTCAGCAGAAAAAAATGAGGATGTGAAACTGTTGTTGAAAATCTCTCAGTATTAGCAGTGTAGAGAGAGTAGTCATTTTCTGATTCTGTTACCTTCCACTCTGATGGGGAGGACAGTCCTCTTGCTGCTAAAGGTGTAGAGGGCTGTGTGCACCCTGAGTAACAGCTGGGCAAATCCAGTCCACAGGCTAGATCAAAATGACTCCATCTGAGGAAACGGATGATCATCTGCCACTGTCAGTTGCGAAGATTTTCGTCTGTTTCATCCTGAGTCTTTCCTTTGTCCTTGGAATCCCTGGGAATTCTTTGGTCATCTGGACCATTTGTACACAAATGAAGAAGAAGCCTCCAACAGCTGTGCTCATCCTACATCTGGCTGTGGCTGATCTCCTGGTCCTTCTGACCCTGCCAATCTGGATCTATTCTTTAGCCAACCAGTGGCTCTTTGGTGTCAGCGCCTGCAAAGGACTTGTATTTGTTATTTACTGTAGCATGTATGCCAGCATCTTCCTCATCACGTGCCTCAGTCTTGAGCGGTTTCTGGCCGTCATTCATCCCTTTGCTCTTCAACGATGGAAGAAGACTACGGTCATCTACCTGGTGATTATCATTATCTGGTTGTTCTCCATTGTTCTTGGATCAACTGTCATCCCATTTCAGACCACTGATGAAACTCATGCAGGCCTCCAGTGTGCCGCTCGTGAGTATGCAACTGTCTCCCAGGAGGTCATCCATCTCTTGTCAGAGACCATTTTGGGCTTCATAGTTCCCTTTACCATCATCTCCATCTGCTACATCTATGTGGGCAAAAGAATTGGGGTCATGGCTTGTCCATCAAAGCGACGTTCTGCCAGGTTGATTACATCAGTGGTAGTGATTTTTTGTCTGTGTTGGTTCCCCCACCACTTCATTAACCTCATAACAGTCATTTCAGTTCTGATGCAGGATTCAATTCCAGAGACAGCTAAAGCCTTGGAGAACATTTCAAATGCAGGAGTGTGGATTGCAGGTGCAATTATTTTTATTAGCAGCTGCATAAACCCTCTCCTCTATGCTTTTGCTGCTAGGAATATTCGAAGCAGTGCGAGGTTTACAAAGTTGTCCAAACTGTTTGAACAAGTGAGTCCTTCAGAGAGGCAGGAATCTACCCAGGAAACAACTTCCCCCAATGAAAAAGAGGAAACTTTGACAAGCACGGAGGTCATCTAGTGTGGACAATGGGAAAAGTGAGTCCATGCCACTGTCCTCATCCTATTGCAAGGATTTTTTATAAATCTTAGATAAACTGTTCTTGGCTTCTGATGAGTTTTTATCAACCATCTAAAATCCATATCTAGATTTATTAATATAAATATTGTCACATTTCTCTTTACATATTTTTTTCCTAGACACTGGTGTGTAGTTGTGTGGTAGTTGAGTAGTTGTGTGTAGAATTGGTGTATCGTTCTGTGCTATTTCACGTAGTACACAGTTCCAAATATCTGGTAGGTTTTATATTTTCAGAAATCAGGGAGCAGCACTATATATTCCAGAAATGACTGGCGACACAATTGTATGAAGCAAGTTGTGAAGTGTAATGTAATTTAATGCACTCTTGCTTTGTTCACTCCACATTTGGACTATGATCCTGTTCAGACTAATAAAAATAGGATCTTCTTTAAAGATTCTCCTTCAGAATCTTTAGTGTTACTTCTAAACAGGATCTGTGATGTATTATTGACTATGACTCTTACAATGTCAAGACAGTTTCTCATCCCCAGTATTTCTTTCTTTATGTCCAGCTTCACGAGTGCTGGAGAAATCAAAAACTTTGCTCAGTATGAGTTGTTGATATTATTGTATTGGCACTAATGAAGGTAATTGGCCAACTGCATTGTGGAAATATCCCTCTTATCTGCCTTTCATACAAAAGGAGATATAGATAAATGAAGTTTGAGCTAACTAGATGTTTTGGCACGTGTTTATGCTTGAGAAATACAATAAATGAAATGTGAGTGTTTGGGCTGAGTCCAACCAGGTGAACCTCATGGCATTGTGTTTTTCTAGGGAAAACTTTATTTGTCATTGTACTCCCTGATTTATTGAATGAGAATGGGATATGTTATAATTTTTTAAAATTTAATCCTCCAGATTACAGCCCTTTTCCCCTCATTCATGCAAATTAATGGATAATCTTTGGCGAAAGGAGTGAAAGTAGTCGCAACCAGGAAAACATGGACCGCTTTGTCTCACCTGTTTCTATGGTTTACCATGGGGCTCATAGAAAGTGAAACTGTTTTTGACTTTTAGGAAACTCCAATGAGCCATGTCCAGGATCTTCTCAAACTGTTCTGGCCTGCAGAGCTGTCTCTCCTACCTGCCCTTCTCACAGCTTGCTCCATGCTGTCCATGCTCTGTGCAAATACATCAGTGAACAATTAAAATTCCTTTCCAGAGTTGCATAGCTTTTCATCCATTGGAGGAAGAGTAAATCCATAGCTTGATGTATCAAACCTCACTTAGTTTATGATAGCTGTGCTATAAATGTTTTCTCCGTGGCAACAAGTCTCCTCTAAGTTTCTTTTGGAACCTTAGTAGATGCTTAACTCTTCCCTTAGGCATTGGGATTTTACCAGGAACTCATAGTTTTATTTGTGGTGGTGATTTGTTTGGACTGGATTGTTTTGGGGAGGGAGGGCTTTTTTTTTGTAATTTGTTGCACTGGGTTTTTTTCTTTTTGTAAACCTTTGAAGATTAAGAAGATTAACCTAACGTGTAATAAATAAAACAAACCATTATCTACTTTATTTGCACCCTACTATATGGATGTTATTGGCTATGAATCTTCCATTTGTCTGATTTGGAAAGAGTGGCTTTTTCATGCTGTGATCTGTTCAGATTTTACATCATGTTACGGTGGAAGGACAGTTTATAGGTACAAAAAAACCACAACAGAATAAAATCAGTAACATTGGAGAAGGGCAGAAAATAACTTGAAGGGATGGATTCTAACTATTTGGTTAAACTTGCATCCCATTAGAACCAAATATAACTCATGAATGTGCCTTAAACCATCCCCTTTTTAACCTTTATCTTTGAACAATAGAACCCTAAAAAGTTAGAAGACACAATGCTTAGAGGAATGACATCTCTGAGAAGGCTCCTGGTTACCAAGGATGGAACACAATACCTCGTCCAGGTCTTTGGGAAGATGGGAAAATAGTTTACATTGAGTTGAGTTCATCATGCAGTCTTCTGAGCAGCAGTCATTTTTCACTCTCTTCTTCCAATACATTTGTTTGTTTTTTAAACAGTTTGTTTGTTTTCAGTCTAGCCTACATCTCTGAAATTTTGTGGTGGTCTCCCACCTGAATATTCAAATATCCAACCCTGCTTATCTTTTTCAAGGACAGTGAAGTTCAACCACTTTGGCTGGTCCCCCTTGGAAAGAGCACCCATTAAATTCAGGGAGCCTGTCTTCTTAAACCTGCTTATAGAGTCAAGGTTTAGAAGTCTCTGCAGTTATATCCTAGTGAGTGTCACAGAATAAAATGTTTGCCTAGATTTAATGTTGGTGAAATACTTTCCACTGATTTTATCAGTTGAGTTCAGAGACCGTTTTGTCCCGGAAAAAAATAGTTTGTCACACAAAGGTCACATAACAATTGAATAAGCTTCAGAAAGAAAAAGAAAAAAACATTGCAAAAATATCAAGGCAACCCATTAACTTCTAAAAACCCCCCACTGCACTTAGTTTTTATT